CTTTCCCATTGGCTACGGGATGAAAAAAAATTTTTAAACCAGTTTTTTTGTTTTGAATTATTCCCTGTTTTTTCTTTCTTTCTTTTTTTTTTTTTTAAAGACAGGTTTTTGCTATAAGGTGTGTGTGCTCACTGGAAAGATAGAGACAGAGAGACAGAAAGTGAGAAATTACATTGCAGAGGAGATGGCCATGCTGCAGTCCCTTCTCCTCCATTTTCCTCTCGGGATCTTGGGTACTCATGCACACATGGCGTGAGTTTTAAGCCACCAGGTCTGGGACTTGAATCACAGTCAATTAAGTGGGAGTCCAGCAACGTAACCACTACACCGTCTGCTGGTCCTATTTTGAAATATTTCTAAAAATTGTTTTTCATCTATAAAAGTTTTAGTTTATTTGTAAGTACAGAATAGGTTATATAATTGAGTTAAAGGTGTTACTGTTAAATTCTGAATTATTTTTTGCTATGTTGTGTTTATATATAAAAAATACTGACAATTAGTTTTTTGACTCTAGGACAAAAAGGGTAGTAAATCTCTTTCTCTTTTAATCTGAATATTCAGTATTGGCTTGTTTTCGTATGCTCTGCCACTTTCTTTTTTTCTGGAGAGGTTTTTGCTATAGGGCACGTGTGCGTACCAGAAAGAGAGAGAGAGACAGAGCGACAGAGAGTGAAAAATCACCCCCCAGGGTGTGGCCATGCTGCAATCCCTTCTCCTCCATTCTCCTCTCGGGATCTTGGGCATGCACGCACACGCGCCCTGCATGAGTTTAAGTCACTGGGTCCAGGACTCAAACTGTGGTCGGCAACATGGGAGATTAGCGACATAGCCATTATGCTAACTGCTGGTCCCTCTGCCACTTTTTTTCTAAGTTAAAAAGCAAAAATAGTATTTTGGTTATGTGATGTATTCTTTTTTAAAAAAATAATTTTTTACTTAATTTTATTTATTTTAATTTTTAATTTGACCAGAGAGAGAGAGGAAAAACAAAAGTCAGAAAGCAAGCCACCATGTCTGGGACTCGAATTGCAATGTGGAAGTCCAGTGTCTTAACCACCATGCCACCTGTTGGCCCCCTATATGCCCCCCCCCCTTTTTTTAACTTAGTTAGGCAAGCTTGGGGCAAAATTTTTTGTAGTGCTCTCTTATTCCTACCTTCAATAATATTACTGTTTGTATTATACTGAGAGTGTAGATTAAATTACACGGGTTGCAGCTAGTCCCTCTTATTTTAGACACTTAAACATGAACCCCACTACTTGTTAGCATCTAATGGATAAGAAGGCACTTGTGAAGATGCAGACAGTTTGATCATGGGGTATTGGGGAGAGCTTAGAAACAAACAGTCTCAAGATTGACCAGGCGCTTAACAATTCAGTAATCAATATTCCTAGAGAGAATTTCACTGTTTATATTTTTGCTAAAGAACTAGAGGAGGGGGAGAAAAACAGAAATACCATCAGAGGGTAACATAATGGTGATGGAAGATGAAGGAAGCAGTGTGCCTTTAACTAGTCAGGAGAATGGAGAAACTGAGACAAGCTGATGCAGTGGTAAAATTGCAAAACTGTTGAATTAACTAGGGTGTGATTTAATCCTTCCAAGAGATGCGGGGAGTGATGAGAGGATGAGCAATAAGGATGCAACAGGGACTGAATGTGAAGCCTGAAATGAGAGTTAAAAGTCAGAAAGGAAATTAGGAGGGTGATTAATACTTCTACTTTTACACATTCCAAGCTGAAGACCAGAGTAATACATTTAACCTAAGTTTGAGGAAAAATGGTTGGCAATACAACAGGGACAAAGAAAAAAAAAATGCAGAGGTGGCCCTGACCCTGAGCAGCAAAGAACAGCAACACCTCCTGAATCACTGCTGTTACTCTGGGCACCTGTGTTTAATTTGAAGGCCTCCATCCCTCTAAACATTATGAGACCTAATGAGATCATGGCTGGAGGTGGTATGACTGAACTTTTTGTGGCTCAGTTATACAAATTTCTGTTTTATCCCCTAATCTTGGTGATGAAATCACTGTTGTGAATTGAATCAGAGTTGCACTATGGCAGGCATGCAAGTTATTATTCTCAGTACACATTTTTGTCTTTACCAAAAATGGTCCTAACAACTTGGATTCATGTTCATCTGTGGAATACAGAAAGGAAAGATTATGAAAATCATTTTAAATTTCCTTAGTAAAATAATTTCATAAAAAATAGTTTTTTTAAAAAAAATTCAGTATCGGATTATCATTCTCTAAATTAATTTTGGTTGAAAATTTTAGATTTTGCCAAAACATTTTAAGTTTGAAAAAGTGACTAGCTATGATAATCCTTCTTTTTCTTTTTTTTTTTTTTTTAAATTGCCAAAGAGTGAATATACTCACCAGAGAAAGAGACAGAGAAAATATCCTCCAGTGGGGTGTGGTCACACTGCAATCCCTTCTCCTCTAATTCTTCATCCTATTGGGATTTGGGCACTGCACACACACACACACACACACACATATGATGGTGTATTTTTCAAGCCACTGAACCAGGATTTGAACCATGTAATTGACCAGGCAGAATCTGGCTTCCCTAGCCAGGAGGCAACAGGCTGGCCCTATAAAAATATTTAATACAAATAATAATGAGCAGAGACCATTGTAGCTTTGTTGGCTAAATGCAGGCTTAAATTTAGGATACTAGTCCTCTAATTTCACTAAGGTATCATCTTCTATATGACGCTGGCACTGTCAAAGCATGTTCATGGAAATAGTGAGGAATTTGTCTTTATACTTTTCATATTCTTCTCTCTAGGTAGTCTCCCACTCAAGGGCATGAATATGTCCATTAAGGATAGTTGCATGATTTATAATCATGGATCGAAGAAAGTATTATGTGACCTTATGCTTGTGACTTAGATCCTACTGTAAACTATTGTTACAAGTGAAATTCAGTTGGAATTGTAGTTGATGGGAAATCTGGTCCTGGTTCAATCATTTCTATTTTCATGATTTTGGAAAACTGGCTTTCTAGTTCTGGACCTTACTTTCCTCTTCTTTGCAACAAAGCAAATGCCTTGGATGTAGTAGACATTCAGCAAAAATTTACTAAATTAAATATAATAGTACCTCAGTCAAGACTCTGGTTCAGATAACACTTCACCGTGGGCAAGCGTCTCTGCAGAGGGTTATGGAGTTAGCCTGAGGAATGGCTACCATCGAGAACTCCAATGCCATCAAGGCTTTCTAGCTCCTCTGCATTCTTTCAAGTCAGCTCATTCCACTCAACAGGAGACACAACCACTAACCTAGACTCATTTCTTACACCTTTGTGCCCCAAAAACAAAGGGTCCCTTTGCTCCAGCCTTTGCTCCAGTTAAGATATAAAAATCTTAAAGCAGATTTTCTTTGACCTGATTTGAATCATGATTCACATACCTTGGACCTACTGATGTGTCTAGAAGAGAGTCCTGCAGAAGTACTAAAAAAAAAAAAAAAACACCAAAAAACCACAAAACCTAAAATTACATATATGAGAGTTCATTGATGATTTTATGGAAAATAGTGGTATAACTACAAATATGAGACATGTTCATTTTGGTTAGGCATTTGAGTTTCTTCCCACATAGCTGTGCAGAGGCTGTTTTTAGGGGCAAAGGTGCCCAAACAAGGGATCTCCATGCTGTTATAGAGCTTGCTCAGGCTTCTGCCCCTAAAATAAGTGTTTTAAGATTCCACGTCCTCAGGATGGATATTTGGGCAGTTCTTTCAAGTCAGCTCATTCCACTCAACAGGAGACACAACCACTAACCTAGACTCATTTCTTACACCTTTGTGCCCCAAAAACAAAGGGTCCCTTTGCTCCAGCCTTTGCTCCAGTTAAGATATAAAAATCTTAAAGCAGATTTTCTTTGACCTGATTTGAATCATGATTCACATACCTTGGACCTACTGATGTGTCTAGAAGAGAGTCCTGCAGAAGTACTAAAAAAAAAAAAAAAACACCAAAAAACCACAAAACCTAAAATTACATATATGAGAGTTCATTGATGATTTTATGGAAAATAGTGGTATAACTACAAATATGAGACATGTTCATTTTGGTTAGGCATTTGAGTTTCTTCCCACATAGCTGTGCAGAGGCTGTTTTTAGGGGCAAAGGTGCCCAAACAAGGGATCTCCATGCTGTTATAGAGCTTGCTCAGGCTTCTGCCCCTAAAATAAGTGTTTTAAGATTCCACGTCCTCAGGATGGATATTTGGGCAGTCAAGGCCTCCTATCTTCATAGAAATTCATTTTTTGAAATTGGATAACAAATCTCTAGCTCCTTTAGGGTGGTTTGAACATAAAATTCGCAATTATGGGAGAACCTGCTTCAATGTAATAATAATAAAAATAGCTAGTTTCTTGTTTGGTATATGCCAGACTCCGTGTTAAAGTGTTCAGTGTTCTGAAGTCAGCTAGGCCTGGTTCCTGTGATTCTATTGCTAGCACATCTTCTCTTGTTCGTGTTCAGTATGTCAAGCTAGCCATGTGAGGTGTTTCCTCTACAAAAACTGACAAATGCCACAAATGAGTGTTCCCTCACTTGTGTGGAGAGCTGGTTGTTAAACATTTCCAACAATATCACTGGGGGCTTTATGTATATTAACTTATTTGATCCTCATGACTATCTTATGCAATTGATCATTGTTTATCTTCATTTTTAAAAGGTAGATCATTCAAGAAGATTTAAAAACATGTAATGCATTGCTTGTTTGAACCTTGGTTCTTCCTTCTCCAAAGTCTGGGTACTCAACTCTAGGAAAGCAACTGACAGTGAATGGATTTCTTCTTTAGCAGCTCTTCAATTTGCCATATGTTATATCAACCAACACAGTAATAATGGCTCTTCTAGAGAAAAGACATACTGATAGTTCATCAGTGAAATGCTTCACTCGCCCAACTGAAGGACATGCTTTTTTGTGTTTCTTCCACTGAGGACATGCTTTTCTGTGTTTCTTCCACTTCTTGCTGCAGGTGGTTCATTGGGGATTGGTTGGAGTGCAGCAAGACGTGCGATGGTGGAATGCGCACAAGGGCAGTGCTCTGCATCAGGAAGATGGGACCTTCTGAGGAGGAGACACTGGACTACAGTGGTTGTTTAACACACCGGCCTATTGAAAAAGAGCCCTGCAACAACCAGTCATGTCCACCTCAGTGGGTGGCTTTGGACTGGTCCGAAGTAAGGAAATCTGAGGCTGTATGTTTTGAGATGTCTTAACTATCAATACCAAAGCATTTAATATTAAGGACACCTGAGCATGTGAGCGTCTTAGAACTCAACAAGTAAGGACTGCATAACAGTGAATTTGGCCATGTTATATTTTATTGCTGCTTATTAGGAAGTAAGAGACTTGGGAGGGGGGGTCAGGGAAATCAATGAGAACTATCATCGATTTGATAAAAAATAAGTCTAAAGTGAACTTGAAATAACATTATAGTGAGTACTCACCTGAGTGGGTTTTTTCCTTACTACTGAGCAGAATCACAAGTTCAAAATTAATGATATGTGATATTGAAAAACTAAAATTCAAAAGAAAAGTCAAGAACCTTTCTTATCCTGAAATTGACTAAAACCTAGAGTGATTTTTTTCTAGCATCTCAGTTGGAAAGCACAAATATTTTAATACCCCCCTTTTTTTTTTTCAAATACAGCCTAATTATATAACTCTTAGATATGCATCATTATCAATTCTTTGTCATTTATTTTATGTGTGTGTGTGTGTTTAATTGCTTCTATTGCATTTGAGAAACAAATATGGAGCTGAGAGTTATAACGTAAAAGTCAGATTCATCCTTTACCATTACTTTCACTTAAATGATCGGTGAGGAAGACTTAAGACAATGTTCTTATGGATACAAAATAGCCTAATAGAATCCAATGGTACTCAGAAAAATGATCTTATTAAAAATTAGGTAGCAGGTATTTAATTTTTGACTCTTCATTTGCATGAGACACACACACACACACTATCCCATTCTCCACATTTCCTAAAGAAGAGTTGACTCCTTCTGTAGTGTTTGGTAGCATTAAAAAGAATGAGTACCAGGACCAGCAGATAGTATAATGGTTACGTTGCTGGACTCCCATGTAGTCTACCACAGTTTGAGTCCTGGACCCAGCAGCTTAAAACTCATGCTAGGCGTGTGTATGCTCATGCCCAAAATCCTGAAAGGAGATTGGAGGAGAAGGGATTGCAGCATGGCCATCTCCCCTGGAGGACAATTTTTCCTTTTCTGTCTCTCTGTCTCTGTCTCTCCAGTGAGCACACATGTCCTATAGCAAAAATCTCTCTTAAAAAAAGAAAAAAGAAGAATGAGTACCTGGCTGCATAATAGAGATAATTCTTTGAAGTTAGTAAAACAGGATAATTCTTTGAAGTTCTGACTCTATTCTAATGTATCTACCAAAAACATTGTTCTCGCTTTGGGTATTTGCACTGGTACTTGTTTTGAGTAATTTCTGTAGACTTCAAAAGTTTTTGTCAAAAGCAAACAAAGGAAAAATGAAATGCTGTCTTTAGGGACCTCCAGATGGAACTATTCCCTCTTAGCATCTTACTGCTTCCGTGGTTTTATCTTGCTGGAGGAACAGGGTTAAAAGGACTGTGTTTAAGATGGTTCATGGAAATATAAAGTCTGTCTAGTTGTGGTTATCCTTGGGATCTTTGGCAGGAATTGGAAGTTTCTCCCAAGATTCCTGGCCATACCACACCTTAAGTAATTACATTCTTGCCTACCTTTTACTTGTAGTTTCAATCAAAAGTAGAGCTATTCTTAGTATTATTCAGTCAGTCATTATGGAAACAACATGGACTCTTTTGTTTCTAAACAGTAGGTGCATTGAAAAATAAATCCATGTACACTGTAAAGATGTATGTGATTAAATGTAAATTAAAATGAAAAAATGAAAAAAGTAAACACACACACACAAGATAAATCCATTGGTAAAGACTAAATGTTCTGCAAAACTGTACACATGTTAGTGCCCAGGACCCTTATGGAAATCCATAAATGTTCATTGATGATAACAAATTTGTTACTGGAAAATCATAGTGGGAGAGCTGATGATTGGATAAACGTGTTAGGGTTTCTGGTCAAGTCAGTTAAGTGTAATTGAGTGCTTACTAAACACAAAAGAATCTGGTAAGCCTGATAAAAGGAGAAATGTCCTTGAAACAACTACAGAATAATAGAAGACAGTGTTTAGTGAAATGTCTGATTGTAAGAGATAAATGTATGACTGATACAGAAATTCAGAACTGAGATGGTCAGAGTAGCCTGGAGTAGGATCAAAAGGTTTTTCAGTTGACAGGAGTTGAATGTTGAGGGTGTTAGAATTTGAAATAGAAAGAGAATAGGGAAGCTGAAGAAGGAATTCCTGTCAAGAGAAATAACTGAACAGAAACAGAAAGGTTGTGTAATGAAAGTAGGGTAGGAGAAAAAGATTTGTTTTAAAGAATAAATAAGGGGCAAGCAGGTGACATGGCCAGCAGTTTAAGACACTAGACTCCCACGTGGCTGAAAACAGCTGGAGTCCCAGACCTGGTGACTTGCTTTCCTTGCTTCTCACTTTCTCTCTCTCTCTCTCTCTCTCTCTCTCTCTCTCTCTCTCTCTCGTGGGCCCTGTAGCAAATTAAAAGTAAATAAATAGGGACCAGCAGGTGGCATGGTGGTTAAGGTGCTGGACACTCCCACGTGGCCAACCATGGTCGAGTCCCAGACCTGGCAGCCTGTTTTCTCACTTTCCCTCTCTCTTTCTGTGTGTGTGTGTGTGTGTGTGTGTGTGTGTGTGTGTGTGTGTGAGTGTGTGGTCAAATTAAAAAATAAATGAATGAATAAATAAAATTAAATAATTATTTTTTAAAATAAATAAAATTACATAATTCTATTAAAAAAGAATAAATGAAAATGAGATTAAATGAAGTAGTGACAGGTATTAGAAATTTCCATTACAGAGCTCTATACCACATCATTTTTCATAAACTAAAACTAGGAGAAATTTCTGCCAACCACCAAAATATCAGAACTTGCTTTTATACCTGTATCACATCGATCTCCTGGCCTACTCTTTTCTGTATTTTTGTTTTACAATAAAATAACCAAATGTAATCACCTTGAAGGCCCAGGTGGTGGCACAGCAGTGACATACCTAAAGCCAGGAAAGATCCTGGGTTCCTGTACCTGAACCTCCCTGAGCACGCTAGACATATATGTGCCCCAAATTTGGGCCAGCTGAGACTTGCAGTGGACCGCAGTGTGGAGACCATGTGAGGGGTGCCCCTCTCTCTCTGAAGAAAGAAAGAAACTTTTTGTTTTGAGAGGTTTTTGCTACAGGGCGCATGCGCTCACCAGAAAGACAGAGACAGAGAAACAGAAAGCAAGAAATCACCCCGCAAGGGGGATGACCACACCACAATCCTTTCTCCTCCATTCTCCTCTCAGGATCTTAGACACACACGCATACGTGCCCAGTGTGAGTTTAAGCCACAGGGTCTGGGATTCGAACCGTGTTCAACTACATGGGAGTCCAGCGACATAGTCATTATGCCAACTGCTGGTCTCAGAAACTATTTTTTTAAAATCAGCATTAAAAAATGTGATCACCCTGAGAAACAGCTTATGTATTGTATTACTGATATGCTTCTATTCAAATACCATTTTAAGGTTTTCTTCGCACAGGTTGTACTATCCTGCTCTTAGATTTTGATTCTTACCTATTCAGTCTCTGAAGTAACTAGCTCAGAAGGCTCTAAGAAGCCCTTGGGCATTCTTGGAGGCCACCTCAATACATACATATAAACTGAGGGCACTTAGATCACATTTCTGCCACCTTCCTTCAGATAGCTGAGCCAGAGCTTTTGGTTCTGAGGGGGTGGAACGCACATGTTGAGATTCTCGTCTCAAAGACCACATTGGCGGACTCTGTCTTCTCTTCACAGACAATCCAGGAAAAGTATTCTGGCTGGGGTAAGCGTAGTGTAGGTCAAACAATACTGTCACTACTGCCTCAAAGATTCTGTTTATAATGAAATAGCATCTTTACCTCCACCATCATCATTTGTTGGAAAGGAAAGAGATATTTTTACCTCATGCAGCCTCTCCTGTGTGTTTTCCAAAGGAAAGGGTTGCACCACTCTCACACTTCCATTTCCTCACTTTAGCAGGAAGCCTACCTCTTCCCCGGAGGGGTTAAAAATAGATAGGAATAAATAGCATTAAGTGAAATAAATATCCTAGTAGCTGTGTAAAACAAAGTAAAAACAGGAGAATGTACTTCCCTGAGGAATAGAACACCTCCCACTAATGAGAAGAATAGGTACCCGCAGAGGAGTAAGCAATGTTCAGTCTCTTTCAGTTAACCTTTTGCAAATATTTCACACAATTGTCTTTCGACACACCCATGAAAACGTCCCTCCGCTTTCTGCCTTCTCCCCACTTCAGCCATCAGCTGTCTGAACTTTGTTAATCAGAAGGGTAAGGTTCAGCTGGTGAAAACATGCTTCAGCGCAAGGAATTTACCCTCTGACCTTTTCCTTTTCTTTGCTGGTTACTCTAATATAAAATTTCCACTGTTGTAAAGCCAGCAGCCGTTTTCCTCAACAGTTAAACCCACCCTGTGCTTATGGCAACAGAAAAAAAGCCAAATTACCTAGGTAGAAAATGGCTCATCAGCAACCTTTTGTGAAACTAATGAAGCCACAGCTTTCTTATTTCCTATAATCTGTCCTCAGTCTTGGGATAACCTGGGCGATGTTGGACTTCAAACGGTTTTCTGTGTTTGCCCTGGCTTGGCAGGTAACTCTTGGAAGTGTTGCGGCATACTGTGGATGGGCTCCAGGAGTCTAGCCCATTCTTTTGATGTATCAGATGGTTTCTTTGACTCCCACGGAGTACCCATTGAAAAGGCTTCTTGTACTAATTCCTGGACAAATGAATAACTGGCATCATACTTAACTGACTTTGTAAGAATTATGTTTAGGTGGCATTACCTAAGGACGGGCACAAAAATCTACCTACAAGGGATTGTGTCTTATTTAGGAAGACAATTGTGGTATCACTTGTGTACTCCCAAGTTTTACTCTGGTTCCTTGACTAAGTAAGTTACATGTACCTTTCCAGAGAGAATTGAGTCTAACCCAAAGATGTTAATATTTCTGTCCGCTATAAGTGAAGGCCAAA